GGGCTGGTGCACTGGGAAGACCCAGAGGGATGGGATGGAGAGGGAGGTGGGAGGGGGGATCGGGATGGGGAACACATGTAAATCCATGGCTGATTCATGTCAATGTATGGCAAAAACCACTACAATATGGTAAAGTAATTAGCCTCCAACTAATAAAAATAAATGGGAAAAAAAAAAAAGATAATTGAAGAGGAACAAGAGGCTGTGGTCCTGGGAGAGAAGTGGGAGAGAGGAGTGGAGAGGTAAGAACCTCTCCTGGTGTGATTCTGATCGTTAATTAACTAACTTCTGAGGAGTTGCTTGCTCTATTCATTTGCAGTATTGATATAGGTAAATAAGGTAACACATTAAAGTACCTTTTAATGAATGCAAAGCAGTTATTTTTATATGGGTCTCTACCATTACAGACATATATATTTGTACAAGCTGGCCACATGGGTAATCTGTCTTTTGATGTCTAAGTCATCCCATACTCACTTTTATCATCTCCCTTTGTCACTCTGAATTTGGACTTGTCTGGTTCAAGGCTTGTAGACCTCATGGCAATTGTGAATAAGCTGGCGATGACTTCTGCTGGGGCTGCTCAGCTCTTGAATACAGGTCATTATTTTGGTCATCAGTCATCTCTGGTATGTTAGGTACCTTCACAAGCTGTAATGCCTCTGGTTATTCTACCTATTTCTTGAAGGTGTTTGAATCACAGTTGGTGGCAGTTACTACAATGTGAGTGTAACTTCTTCCCTTGGTTCACCTTCCACACACCATTGCCCCTACCAGGCTGCCTTCAATGATGCTGAACACAGATCTGAAGGGATAAAGAGGAATAAGAGGACCAGACTAAAACACCAACAGAAAAAGTTTACTGGGGCCTTCATTATTGACTAGTTTGAATGACTGATCCTTTTTGATATACTCTACTTGCTACAGAGAAATGTATGGAGTGGGGAAGAAGGCACAACTCGAATCTATATACTTTTGGTATTTTTGGCTGTCAGTGTTCCAATCCTGATTTTCTTGATAATTCCACCCCTACCACTTGCAGTCCATATGCTTCCAGGGAAGTCAACTTTCTCTTCATTCCTGGTTTTCTGGGTCAGCTGTGTCTCATGCCTAACTAATGAACGTGGTCTCTTCCTCTTTGGCCAGGATGACTTATTTGAAAATGGTTATTTAACCCAAGATGGCCCTATCAGAGCAAACCTGGCATTCTCAGATGGTTGTGGGAGGAGAGGTGCACTTTTCCACTGCATAGAGACAAGAGTGTATGTGGCCCCCATATGAGGATCACAGAGGTATTTTTCTCAGAATGAAGCCAAATTTGATATCTCAGTACTGAGGAGAGACTGTGACTTTGTCTTGATCACACTGTTTTGAGATCAAGCCTTATTTGAAAACATGATATACTGTTTTTTTATTAAAGACAGCTTAACCTGGGTTTTCTATTATCTGTTCTGTTATTTGCAATGGATAGCATATTATACACAAACATTTCCTCAACAATTTCTTGAAGAGATGTGGATCATCTGAATTGAAGTGCTGAATGCTATCAAGTTACATAAAACACTTTCAAAAGCAAATGCTCAGGGATAGGCTATGAAAGGCATGCCTTAAAAAAGCATGTGTGGAAAAAAACTACACATAAGTAAGTAGTAAGTGAATATTATTTTGCCTAAATTAATATATATATAATCCCTAGAAAAGAAAGACAAGGGATCATTTTACCAGAATCCTAAAGCCTCATTTTAGGTATGAAGTTAAACCCAGGCAAAGGATAAGGACAATTTGGAGAGAATTCAAAATAACCATGATGAGGAAGAGATTTCAATATGTCTTATGAGTGTGGGTGGAAGAAAAATTGTTTCAGGGGACACATGGCAATAGTCTTCAATTACTTTAAGATATATGTAGTAGACATTTGTTTTTGGCTATTCAGCATTACTTGACTTCCAACAATAGCCAGATGTATTTGATTTATTTGTCCCTTCAAATTTATCTGAAATTAGTGCAGTCCCTGGACTATTAAATTACATCGGCCACTATATTCTCATTTTTGCTTAGGTCATTTTAGCTGAGTTTTCTGATTTGCAATCAAGAGTTTTTGGGGTTTTTTTGGTTTTTTTGCAATCAAGTTTTAACTAATGCAAAATGTTACCTCTAGGAAGGCTTAGATCTTTGAGGTCCCTATAGACCAAAATGTGTAGACTACAGGCTAGATGTCTTCCGTTAAATGGAAGAAACAAATTTCAAAGAATAAGGACTATCTGAAGATGAAATTATCATTTAGGAAGATAATTCAGTATTCAAATTTTGATAATTAATAAAGGTGAAGTTTGAGGTCTTTTTTTTTTTAAATAAGAGTCTATGAAAGTATCTCTAAATACTTATAAATTTTAAGTAGGCAAGCACAATTATTGACAAAATTTAAAGCTAATTAATTTTAGATTAATAGAGTATTTTTCATATGATTTTATACTGATTTTACACTTTCTTAGTATGTTATGCTTCTTATATATTTCAAAATTTTTTATCTAGTGAATTTTAAAGTCACTTAATAGACCTAAAAGTCTAATGTTTAAATATAGAGGTTTATAGTTGTATCTTTGTTTTGATATCACAACTGTAATTTTATTGACTGTGAAGTCTCTACTTGGGAACACAGCCTTAATCATAGTATTATTCTCAATGGGAAAACTGACTTACTGCAAAATAAAACATTTGCTACAAATCAGGCCAAATACTTCTACTGATGGGTTAGGACTTCAGTCCTAAATTACTGAAATACATAAAATCATTCCTTGCCTATTCTTCCTTCCTGAATAAACAGATGAAAACAGCAAAATAAACAAAAACAACAGGGACGTAAGTAAAACAAACATTAAAAACTTTAATGAGATACACTGAAGTATTTAGGTATGTCTGAATATGCATAGAAAAAATATCTGGAAGGATACATATCAGATTATTAACAGTTAACCTTGGGCAGGTGGAACTGGGGTAGGGTGAAGGCAGTGCTCTTACTTTTAAATTCTGTATTTTGTGAAATTTTATAATGAGCATTTATTACTTTTATAGTAATGAAAACCATAATAGAAATTTAAAAAATAAACATAGTAAGAAAAAGTAAAAAACACACACATATATACAGTAGTTTTAAGAGCTTCATTGGAGGTACAGAGAATTAAATCATATGGCACATTTTCCCACTAATACTGTGGTGGTAAATATAACTGCATACTTTTAGCAACATCTCGATTCAAAAAGTCCTCTGGGATAAGAGCCCTTAAGCAGTGACCCTTCAAGGTGAATACTAAAGCTGAAAACAGGGTTTAACTGTTTCTAGAGGATCTACAGGAAAACATGTCAATCTGAAAACTTCAGACAAAAGGAAACGCTTCACAGAAGTAACTCTGGAACACTAAAACAGCTAACCAAAGGCCAGAAATGGTGTGTATGAGAACTCTACCCAGTTCAGACCCAAAACTAAATCACTGAAATCTTGGTAATCTAGGGAAACAGGTTAGGGGCATCTATTTTACCCATTTATTATTTCTCCCAAATTTTCAATTGGTCTGCTTTTTAACCTCAATGATTTTACCCTAAAAATACTGCAATTTTAATGGGAAGGAATTAAATTAATTCCATCTAATTAGCTTTAGGTTTATGCTTCCAGTTAAAACAACTAGAAAAAACTGAGACTAATGATTTTCCCATCCTTGTTTTTTTCTCATCACTATTTCTAGCTACTTGATGAACATTCTGGGAGTTAATACTTTGGATTTCTCAAGAGTCCTTGAAGTTCTGTATTTGGGAAGATCTTTTCTCTCATGTTCTAATTTTTCCTCCTTTTATTGAAGTCATCAGGGATGACAAACTTTTATTATTAATTTCTTTCAACAAAGAGGATTGTTTAGATAACTATTAGGTTCATGGTTAAATATCCTCATCAAAGTCAGAACATCTGAAGTTTCCATCTTTGCAAGCTACAAGTTAAGTGCTTAACTGATATAATTTTGCACTCCTGAAAGAGTGCTCATGACTTAGGTGTCAAAAGTTTGTGTAGGATTAAACTTAGGCATAAATAATATGGAAAATTTGACAAAGCTTAATCAGAAAATAGAAAGGATATAAAGTCATAATGACCATATGATTTTTAAAAGCTACAACAGCTGAAATTCTGCTGTTTTCTCAATGGAAAATTTTTAAAAAACAACAAAAGATTCATCATAATGCCAGGTACACAGTAACCATTCAATAAAAGTTAGGTCTAAATGAACAATGGATTAAAGCAATATACAAAAATATAAGAACCCAAAAAGGAAAGAAAAGCTTAGAACTAATTTTCCTAGAGTGTGTACTTAAATGGAAAGTCGAAGCTCACAGAGAGCAGTAAGAAATTCTTCATTTTCTGGATCTATCTTTTGGGCCCTTTCATAGTACTCAGCTGCTTGCCTCTTTTCTCCCTCTAGCTTGTAAACAAACCCTAGGGCACTTAAACTCTGCAGATCTGAAGCATTGTACCCAAGTCTCTTAGTAGCCAACTTCTTCACAGCACTTGTCAGTTTAGGACGCAGAGATGACCTGTCTTTGACCTTTAAGGCTTCTAAATAATGGTGGATGGCAGTATTTTCTGATTTACGGTGAAATTCCTGAAAGCGGCCATAGTGGTAGTGGATCTGATGTTTGTGATCATCAGTTATGTTCTCCAGACGAAGAGCTTTCTGAAAAATGTCTTCAGCATTGCTATACTGGCCTCCCTCAGCATACATGTTGGCCAGGTCTGTGTAGGCAAATGCAAACATAGAGTCTCGCTCCACAGCTGCTTTGAAATGAGATATAGCCGAGGTAATCAGCTCATCAACTTTCAGTTTATCCTTTCCTTTAGGTCTGTTGCGAGTGGCCTTCTTGATTTGGATCATTTGTGCCCTATAGCAAAGTCCCATTTGGTGATGCAAGAAAGAAGAGGTTGGTGTCACCTCCAAGGCCTTTTTCAAAAGTTCTAGAGCTTTGTCCCAGGAATTTTTTCTCCTATAGAATTTGGCTGCATAACGAAGGACATAAGGTTGGGCTGATATCTGGTCCAGGATCTCTTCAATATACTTTTCCCCCTCAGCTTCTGCATGCACATCTTGAAGCTTCAGTGCGAGAAAAACCTTAATGTAGGAATTATCTGGGTTCAGGGTGACAGCTTTCCTCAGGGGGCCCAGAGAAAAGCTCTTTATAGACCCTTCTCTGTCGGAATCATCCAGCCGATACACTGTGATGGCATAGCCGATGTTAAATTCTGGATTGTCTGGTTCTGCTTCCAGAGCCTTCTCAAAAGCTGCTTTAGCCTTTTGGTAATACTTTCCTCCAAATTTCAAGAGTGCCCACCCTTTCTCACAGTCAATCTCTGGACACTCCAACTTGTAGTTAGAAGGACTGGACAATTTCTTGCAGACGTTCCCTATCTTGTCTATGTACTTCTGAGCTTCTTTAAGCTGATCCATGCAATAATAAACCCAAGCATAGTTTCCCCAAGTGACCAGACTTCGTACTTCTTCTTTGTCTGAGTGTTCTCGCTGTATAATTTCTTCTGCTTGTTTCAAGCACTCTAGAGCATCTTCATTTTGGCCCTTTAGGTGTTTCACATATGCCAATAGGTTATAAAGAGTGAGTCTGGATTTTGTGGTAAGAAATTCAAGCTGTTGCCCAATAGTATCTTCTACATCAAACAGATCAATGTCTTCCTTAAGTAAATTCCATGTGAAGTGACATTCTAACTCCAAAAGAATGGTCTTCAAGCAGTCCTTAGGAATTTCACTGTTAAAGATAAAAATACTTTTTAATTTCTGAAGAAATAAAGAAAATAATTAATTTTTAAATCTTAAATACAGTTCTTTGCTTAACAACCAATTTTATCTACTTGATTTTACAGTTAAAGCACTAGGCTTCTGTAAGTTTATACTAGTTTCCTCTGTGTATAGTTATGCTCTAGAAATATTCCATTAAATTCACAATATTTATTGCAAAACCAATTCTGGAGAGAACAGCGTTTTCTATCTTACAAGGTATCTATTTCCTTTAGGCAGCCACTAAGCCACAAGGAACACTTGTTTTTAGAGAGGGGAATTTAAATTATTTTATTTACTAGCTTTGAAAATTAATAATAAAAGATAATAAATAACATATAAATAACATATAAATAACATAATAAATAACATAAAAATTTCATTTCTGTATTATGAGTAGTGAAGGAAAAGAGAAGAAAGTGAGAAATAAGAAAAAGAAATACACTGAAGGAGACAGAGAAGCCACATGAATACATAATTTTTGCAGAGAAAGAAAGGGAACTCCACACAGAAAATAGCAGAGTCAGACAGGAACAGGTACACCAAGAGATGGGAAGAAGTATACGTTTGAGAAGTAACAAAGATTTGGAGAAAATGGGGTAAAGGCAAAAGGAGGCTTAGTAAGTTTTGATGTTAAATGCCACATCCTTCTGACCTTTAGGGTTGTGGGCAACAATAAAGGCTGTCACCCATTACTCCCCTTAATGTTCAAGTCACAAATATTTGCTCAACTCCCTTTGTGAAGCACAGTGTAATTTCTTCAGGGCCTAGTTTCATCTCTGAAACCAGGAAGATGAAGAGGAAGGAGGGGTTAGGAAATATTTACTCATTACTGATAGGCTTTTATATGCAAGATCTTCTGAATAACCCTGGAGGTCTAACTGTGAGTAAGACACAGGCCTGCTTATACAGAGCTTGTAAGTACACAGCCACTTACAAATCAGCATTCCAATACAGTGCCATGGAAGTGACTCGGGAAAGGCACACAGTCCAGTGTTGCAGACATCTGTGGCTCTCATTTGGCGGAGCAATATCTCCCCCTCGTCTCAATCCATGTGATTTGAGACAGGCTGCCTACACTTCCTCCAGCATGTGTGAAGGCACACAATATTCCAGCCATTCCCTGGTCTCAGTGATTTATTCAGATTTATGCAATTAGAACATAATTTTGCTGAAATGGGGCTTTGCTGGAACTCTGTCTCTTCCAAAATATTTAAGCTGGTAGAATGTAAGCTGGAGTTGCCGGTGGCCTCTTTCCAAACCCTGGGGACAGCCTGCCTAAGAGAGACTCAAACACAGAGGAAAGCAGAGCTCAGGGATGAAGACAGACTGCTTGTGATGCTGACTAAATTCCTGAAACCAGGTATTGCCTGGATCACCCTGTCAATCCCTGCACTTCTACCTTTTTTAAGGAAATAATCTCTCTTTTCTTAAGCCAGTTTGAACTGGATTTCGCCTCTCTGAAGCTGACAAATTCCTGATTAATATACCTAATTTTGTTTGTTTTGCTTATGGCAGTGGTGAGGCAGTCAGGAAAGACTTGCTAAATCCAGTATTGAGCATAATTAAGGGTCACAAGAAATTTACAGAACAAAGCTGCTTAAGGCTTCTCTTGAAGAAGGAAATGTTCTAATTATTGGATGAACAGTGTGTGTGTATTTATTTCCCTTTCTGCTGCACACAGGACCATTTTCCTTCTATGTATGTACGAATGCATATTTGTATAAGTATTTATGAGAACTATAGTAATATTTCTATCAAGAAACATTTATTGATCATCTCATGTCATACATGCCAGGCAATATGCTAGTTGGAGTAGATACAGTAAGGAGCAAGACAGAATAAGACCTTTTCTTCATGGTAATTCCAGTATAGGAGAGGAAGGAACAATAGGGGTTGACAGAAAATAAACATGTAAACAAATCAATGAACAACATAATTCCAAATATTAAGAAGTGTTAAGAAAAAACTCAGAGTCATGGGATTATGTGGTGGTGTACTTTAGTACACTTTTCATTCTCTCACTCTGAGAACTCTTCCTAGGAGAGTACTGTGCTTATTGCTCAGAGGTGTCCGCCTCTTTGTGACTCTGTGGACTTGTAGCCCGCCAGGCTCCTCTGTCATGGGGATTCTCCAGCTAAGAATACTGGAGTGGGTTGCCATGCCCTCCTCCAAGGGATCTTCTCAACCCAGGGATCGAACTCAGGTCTCCGGCACTGCAGGCAGATTCCTTACCATCTGAGCCCTAGGAAAGTAGAGGGCTTACTTATTCTCGTAATTCTGATCTTGGCTCAAATCTCAGCTCTTCAAAGAAGTTGACCCCTGACCACCATAGCTTAAACTGCATCTCCACTTTGCCTGCCATCCTAAAGTCTAGTCTATCACAATTTCCTATTCTTCATGGCACTTTTATCAATATTTTCTGGGAGCTGGGGAGGAGGGGGTGCAGGCTTTGAATCAAAATGAGATTGAGGTTTTAAAATGAATTGGGCTGAGTTTTAGGAACTGGAAGGAGGCTGCCCTAATAGCCAAAAGTGGCAGAAGAGTTAGAGAACTGGATTAATTAAGAGAATTAGTAGTAGTGATCAGAAAAATAAAACCACTTCATGTTTATAATCTAATAGTATACTTCATGAAATGTTTCCCAATTTTCATAAATACTAAATTTAAACATTAATAGCTTACTTAATAATATATTTAGTAGAAATGTTCACTTATAATATTAATTTTATACATTTTTTTCTTATTCTCTTTATCATCTGTGTATACATATAAACACATATATACAGGTCCCACATTTTAGCAATTGCAGGTTCTAGACCAGAGCTTTCCAACAGAACTTCCTGCCAAGATGGAAATGTTTATGCTGTACAGTATGGTAGCCACTAGCCACACATGACCACTGATCACTTGAAATGGTGGCTAGTACAACTATGAACTGAATTTTATAGTTTTAATTAATTTAAATATTACATGACTAGTGGTTATTATATGTGACAGGACAGTTGAAGACACTGGGCCTACAGAGCTTAATGTACAAGAAAACTTTAGGCTTAACAGGTTAGACCTCTCCTTTAACTTGAAATTTTCCCCATTTTCCTCAAGGTGAAGAGCTAGATTAAATGGCAAACAGGGATATACTTGAGAAGAAAACCTTATGCATGTGACCTAGGTTCACTACAGATTCAACTCAATAGTACAAATGTTACACATGTAACATATACTTCCAAAATCAGATGAGAGCGCAAAAAAAAAAAATAAAAAACCCAAAACATCCCCCAAAACCACTCACTTTCCACAATACCCAAGCCAGGCAGAGTGCCAAGCAATTTACACAAATTACGTTTACTTTTATTTTTTTTACATTTACTTTTATAACATCTTATTATTTTTACAATTTTATGGATGAGGACTGGGAAATAGAGTTTAAATTACAAATCCAAGGTTATATAGCTATAAAGTGGTCAAGCACAAATTCAAAGTCATTTCTGACTAATTCAAACAAAAGCTTATGCCTTTTAACCAAAATGCTATATGACATCTTTCATATAAAAATTGGAGTTCTTTTTAAAGAATAATTTGCTTTAAAATACAGGCTATGTCTAATGTATGTAAAATTCACTTCGCCTGGAAAGGACTTAAAAGAAAAACATAGAGATTTTAGAGCAGCTTAAAGAGCAGGTAGAAGTTGTATAACTGCTCATTGAAAAAGACAGGCCAGACAGTTAAAGTCTTGGGATAAGAAAACAATGATTTTAAATATAAGCCCTCAATCTGAAGTCATAGCATTCTTCATTGTTGGAGTTATTTTGAGATGGAACTACTAGAATATGCTATGGAGTGACAGTCAGGATTGATTATTTCAAATAATAAAGGATCTGGGTAGAAATGTATTAAAACTAATCTGAAGGAAGAATAAAAATCTTAGTTATCAAAAATATAATTATCATTATTAAAGTAAGGAAATTAAAATATCTTTTTTCCCCATAAACCAGTTAAAGATATAGTATATGCTGATGATCTCCCAAGGTATGTCCACTATCTCTGCTTCCTTCTGAATTCCAGACTTCTAGTTTTTAGTTTACATCTTCAATTAGAAGTTCAGTTCGGATCTCAAGTAAATATATTCATTACAGAAATCTGGGTTCCTTGAGTCTGTGCATACCTTTAGTTTTCCTCCACCTTTTTTTGGTACCTCTTAGCCCCACAGGCCAAATAACCTAGAAGTATGTGAACCATGAACTTCCAGATGTTCAAGCTGGTTTTAGAAAAGGCAGAGGAACCAGACATCAAATTGCCAGCATCCGCTGGATCATCAAAAAAGCAAGAGAGTTCCAGAAAAACATCTATTTCTGCTTTATTGACTATGCCAAAGCCTTTGACTGTGTGGATCACAACAAACTGTGGAAAATTCTGAAAGAGATGGGAATACCAGACCACCTGACCAGCCTCTTGAGAAACATGTATGCAGGTCAGGAAGCAACAGTTAGAACTGGACATGGAACAACAGACTGGTTCAAATAGGAAAAGGAGTATGTCAAGGCTGTATATTGTCACCCTGCTTATTTAACTTATATGCAGAGTACATCATGTGAAACACTGGGCTGGAAGAAGCACAAGCTGGAATCAAGATTGCCGGGAGAGATATCAATAACCTCAGATATGCAGATAACACCACCCTTATGGCAAAAAGTGAAGAAGAACTAAAGAGCTTCTTAATGAAAGTGAAAGAGGAGAGTAAAAAAATTGGCTTAAAGCTCAACATTCAGAAAACTAAGATAATGGCATCTGGTCCCATCATTTCATGGCAAATAGATAGGGAAACAGTGGAAACAGTGTCAGACTTTATTTTTTTAGGCTCCAAAATCACTGCAGATGGTGATTACAGCCATGAAATTAAAAGACGCTTACTCCTTGGAAGGAAAGTTATGACCAACCTAGACAGCATATTAAAAAGCAGAGACATTACTTTGCCAACAAAGGTCCATCTAGTCAAGGCTATGGTTTTTCCAGTGGTCATGAATGGATGTGAGAGCTGGACTGTGAAGAAAGCTGAGTGCCGAAAAATTGATGCTTTTGAACTGTGGTGTTGGAGAAGACTCTTGAGAGTCCCTTGGACTGCAAGGAGATCCAACCAGTCCATCCTAAAGGAGATCAGTCCTGGGTGTTCATTGGAAGGACTGATGCTGAAGCTGAAACTCCAGTACTTTGGTCACCTCATGCAAAAAGTTGACTCATTGGAAAAGACCCTGATGCTGGGAGGGATTGGGGGCAGGAGGAGAAGGGGACGACAGAGGATGAGATGGCTGGATGGCATCACCGACTCGATGGGCATGAGTTTGAGTAAATTCCGGGAGTTGGTGATGGACAGGGAGGCCTGGCATGCTGCAATTCATGGGGTCGCAGAGTCGGACACGACTGAGTGACTGAACTGGACCGAATCTCTTGATTCCTCTTCTCTCAACCCCTCATTTAATCCAATGGGAACTTCTGTTAATTCTACCACCCAAATATATCAAATCCATACACTTTACCCCCCCCCCCCCATTTCCACAACAATTTTTCTAGTCTAAAAGACTATTACCTTTCCTTTGAACAGGGGTAACAATCTGGTCTCCCTGTTTCCACTCTTGGTCCCCATATAATATTAGCAAACTACTGAAACTGTAAACCAGATTATGTCAGTCTCTTGGTTCAAAATCTCCCAATAGGTTTGAAACACCTTTAATCCAGCCTTTGCCACGTCTTACAAGTCCCTAAAGATGCTGGACCTGTGTACCCACCCAACCTTCTCTCCTCCTTCCTCCTTATTATGTTTTAGACATACTAACCTTCTTCCTATCTTGAACATATTAAGTTCAAAGACTTTCACACTTGTTTTTACTCTACTTGAGAAGCTCTGCTTCCAAATCCTTGTATGATTAGCTCCTTCCTTTAACTTGGCTCAAAAATCCTCTATCCAAGTGGCCATCTGTGGCAAAGGTATCTAAAATAACCCCCTCCATTCCTGGTCACTCTCTTAGCCCACTACACTATTTTATTTTCCTTATAGCTCTTACCACCTTCTGAATTATGTTATTTATTCATTCATTTTTTGGTTATTTATGTTATCTACCCATTTATTTTTGGTTGTCTATTTCCCCCATTTAAATGAGAACAGGGACTTTATTCTGGTTTGATTTTTTTCACCCATGTGTCCCCAGAATCTATGATTTCAGAGGAGGTCAATAATAAGTACTTGCAGAGTGAATGAATGAATGTAGTTATATACTGATAGCTTGTGGCATTTTCAACCCAGAGGCATGAGCCTAGAAGTTTAAAAAAAAAGCACCTGAATTTCAGATGAGGGAATTCCTGCTAGTTCTTTCCATCCTGCTACTGGTTCCAAACTTTCTGCCACTTCAGTCTTCCCTATCCTATTTGTTTTTCCATCCTGGCATACTGTCTGGCTCTCTGTTTAGATTTTGAAACTAGGTTCTGGACTAACGTCCTAAGGTCCTGACTGGGAAACACGGTATGACTATCCCTTGGTAGTTGATCCTTTCTCTGGTGTAAATGCACCAAAATCATAGGCAAGACATGCCACGCCCTTAACAGCCTGCTCAGACCCACGATATGGGCTTACCAGCCTCTGCCCATCCACAGAGTGAAATGAACATCTGCCTCTGCCCAAGGTGGATGAGGAGGGAGGGCTGCCCAGGGATCGTCATATGGCTGTGAGATCTCTAGGGGACATTCAGTCAGCCATGTAAGTGCCTTGCCTACACTCTATGGGATTTATGCACAACCTGGCACTATGACAAATTTTACTTTTTCAGCTCTACTTACTTTTTTAACTTTGTCTCTGGGAAGCTGGCAGAGAGAGGCTATTGTGTCTGAAGAGGCAACACTTATCTTTAGGCAATTTTGTGTGTGTGGGAGTTGTTTTATTGTGTTTGTTTATTTGCCAGGAAGGAGCAGTCTTTCATTTTCCTTGGTAGACAGTGCCCACTGGGGTTCACCCCTCTTTATCCCATCGACCAGACACTGGCAGGGCATCACCCGCCTTTTCCTCTCTATACCTCACACGTCCCTCCTTCCTTACAAAGGGTAGAAGTAAGGCATTTATTAAACATTTTTAAACACAACAAAAGTCACCATCTGCAAATATATGAACTGGGCATTAAGCAACAACCGTTTCCACAGTCCTAAGAGATGGATGCCATCACTTTTTACAGACAAGAAACAGCTTCACCGAGTTGAAGAAACTTTGCTGTGGGTCACCCAACTAGTAGGTGGTCCGAGTCAGGATTTAGAACAAAAGACTGTAAGGCCTGCAGGAGCCCACTATCTGAACCTCCTCAGGCCTCAGCTTCTTAAATGCAGACCGCTCACCATACACGTGCAGGGTAGGGGACCAGATGAAAAGGGGTAAGCCAAGGACCCCCACCACAGGCCAGTCTCGGGAATGGAGAAAGAAAGCTCCACAAAACAGGGATGGGGTGGAGCCGGAACAATCTGTCCACGGTACAAAGGAGGGGGAGAAGTCAGACCCAAGTATCAAAAAGGCAAAATGGCAGAAGCGGACGCGTGTGACGCGGGGGCTGCGGCCTGCGGGGACCTGCACCTCAGAAGCTCCTGCACCGCAGAAGCTCCCGCACCGGCCCGGGGGCGGCGGCGACCGGAGCCGCAGGGAAGTGACAAGTCCCCGGGGCGCGTCGCCCTGCAACCCCCCCCNCCCCCCCTGCCCCCCGACTCGGCCCGAGAGTCCGACTGCGGATGCCTGGGACTTGCCGGAAGGGTCCACTCGGCCACCCTCCCCGGCAGGCCCACCTTCAGCCACCCCGGACCCTGACCGGGCTCCCAGGAGGGGAGCGTCCCCAACGCCGACGCCTGGCGGCCGGGCTCTGGGGCTCGGCCCTCTCAAGGGCCGCAGCACTACCCTGCAAACGGAACCCGAGAGAAAGGCGTGTAAAACAAAGGCCACAGGGAATTGGGGAGGAGAGGCGGGGAGAGGCCCTTACCTCATGGTGGCTGGGCTGCAGTTCCGGGAGGTGCAGGTCCCTTCGGGCTTTCTCCTCAGCCCTCCGCTCCTTTGCGGCTGAGCGGCGGCGCGCGTGCGTGTGCGTGGGCGCGCGGGCGAGGTGACCGCAGCGCTAGGTCCGCGCGCGAGGGTGGACGTCTTTGTTAGAGGGCGGACAGGAGCGGGAAAGGCCAACGGGAAAGTGAATCTGATCCCCGACTAGGCGGAGTCCAGCTCCGGGAAACAGAAACTTCTGGAAGAGCTGAGTGGGGGCGCCTCCCCGGCCGGGCTGAGGAACCTCTGTGAAAGGTTTGCGCAGCGCGGGGACGTTCCGGGTGGAATTTGCAGCTGGGCCTTGAGACTTTGGTCTTGGCTGCTCAGCTGCCTTTTTAAGTCCACGTGCCTTAGCTCTTTGCGGGGTGGTTGTTATTTGTTGGATTTTTTCTTTTTCCCTTAGCTAAGATGACTGGAGATATTTCAGCGTTATTTTTGTTGGGTGGCACCAACGCTCTTTATGGCTTTGTGCATCCTAGGCCAAAACTCAAGTCTTTTTTTTTTTTGTTTTATGAAATTAATTTATTATTTTACTTTACAACATTGTATTGGTTTTGCCATACATTGACTTGAATCCTCCATGGGTGTACATGTGTCCCCCATCCTGAACCCCCCTCCCACCTCCCTCCTCATCCCATCCCTCTGGGTCATCCCAGTGCACCAGCCCTGAGCACCCTGTCTCATGCATCGAACCTGGACTTGCGATTCCTTTCACATAGGATAATTTACATGTAAAACTCAAGTCTTGAGTCAACAAACACAGGTCCAATGCCATGCACTTGTGCCGTGATTTTCACTGGGTAAACTTCGAGAAATTTGGGGGCCAAAACGTATATATATTCAAAATTTTGGTAGCTATTCCAGGTTCACTTGGCAAAGAGGGTTTTACACCCACCCACAATTGTATGAAAATTCACTTCCTTTCCGTGCCGTGCCCTTGACAACTGAGCTTCCTATAATAAGCTCCCATAATAATAGAATACTAATCCTATAATAAGGTCCCATCTTTATGATGGGGTTGGCTTCCCCTGGTAGCTTAGATGGTAAAGAATCTGCCTTCAATACAGGAGACCTGGGTTTGATTCCTGGGTAGGGAGGATCCCTAGGCGAAGGGAATGGCAACTCACTCCAGTATTCTTGCCTGAGAATCCCCATGGACAGAGGAGCCTGGCGGGCTATAGTCCATGGGGTCATCAAGAGTGGGCCATGAGTGAGCCACAAACACACATACACACACACACACACACACACACACACACACACGCAAAGACGGAGTGGTTTGGAACCTAAGCAGAAAATATCAAACGCCCATACACTGCCCCCTTCAAATTCAGTCATTTGTTCTTTCAACACGTTTTATTAAACAACTGCTAAGAGCTAGACATTGTTCAAGACCCTGTCAATATAGCAAGGAATAAGATAGACAAGGGACAAGCCCTCCAGCCTCCTCCCCCTACACACTGTCTTCTGCATTTTGTTCCTGATTATGCGCAGGGTGGAGATAAGTCTCAAACTTTGAGAAAAAGTGTTCATTATCACAGAGTTTAAAAGGCACGAGTTTATCACTTTCATGTCTTGGCAAAATGCCATGCTAGTCACTTTGTTTTTCAAATGAATGGACAACAATGTACAGTTTTTTCTATGTGTCCATTAGGTTAAATAATGCTTACTTTGGCTTTGCAAGAAAAGGGAGTTTATATCTAAAGCCAGTTCTTGCTCCCTCAGGATTAAGTTAAGCATGGCTAAGTAACAGTGTAGGTCCAGAACTGTAGTTAGCTGTGCATTTGTGATTTTGTTACAATTGTTTGTTTGGAGTTAATTTCTAGTGAGAGGTGAAGGTAAAGAACAGATATAGTGTTTTATGTCAGGTTGTGCTATGGAGAAAAAGCATAGAGAGGGTTGGTGTTTTGCTGTTATAAAAATATTGGGGAGGAAAGGTTTGGGGTGGGGGAAGAAGTGAGCACTGTGGATATGGGGTCAGGGAAGAGCCTTCTAGCCTGGGGGAACAGTAACTGCAAAGGCCTAGAGATGGAAGCATACTTGGCATGCACAGATGGTGTGGTTGGAGTGGAGAAGGCAGAGAAGAAGTCCTAAGAAATGTGGTTGGGGAGGTAATGTGGATGTGGTGGGTCTGTAGGCTATGGTAACCTTTAAGTGGGAAGCCACATTTTAGAAAAAGTACTGAATGGCTTATTTGGAGATACAAAGATATGCCCAGAATTTCCTCCTTCCTGAGGATTTAGAATATTTAATAGAGCTCTGTTTGAAAAGGTTTCCAGTGTGTTGATTGTGTTTTTTCTTCCTTATTCCTACTTCTTTCCTTTCTTTTAGCTGTAGCTGAGCCAAGAGATAGTCTTTGGGTTATTAAGTTTTGAATGAACAGCAACTAAACAGTAAATGATAAAAGTCAAAAGGGGAAAAAATTCCTGATTACCCTTATATTGTTTAGGATTTCAGATTCAGAAAGACTAAAACTAATCTGTAAAAAATTTAAAGGAATAAGCATTTTCAGGATTGAGAAGAAGCAAAGACCCAGCTGTTGAGTAGGTGTTGAACATCCTGAATTTATTAGATGGAACTTGAATGTCAGTATTTTTTTCATAACTTGTCGGATTGGGTGAATTCTTGGGAAAATTAGTAGTGTGTTGTCTTTTTAATTTATTCTTATCAACCTGTAAAACACAGCAAGGGGGGAAAAAGAGAAATGGAACATGAAAAATGGCAACTAATAGAAAATCTGCTTGGGAAACTGAAAATTTAATAACTCTTCCAAGGTACAGATCTAAGCCGGAGTTTCTCAACCTTGGTGCTATTGACATTTGGGTTGTGGGAAGCTGTGTAGTGCATTTTAGGATGTTTAAGCAGCAATCTCGCATCTATCCTCTAGATGTCAGTAGCACCCTGCAGTTATGACAAACGACCTTAACTCCAGAGATTGACAAACCCAACTTTTTTTTTCTTTTTGCCTTCAGGGGCAAAAGCCTCCTCTTCTCTCTTCCCCACAGTTGAGAATCATGTAACACCCTCTTGTATATACCTAATTTATTTGAATTAGTCTTCACAGCCCAGGCTGCAAGAGATAGAAGATGGACTTTAGGTAGGAGAGGAAAAGTTGAAATCAGATCACAGAAAGTCAAGGGTGGTACTGGAGTCCAGGAGGTGGCCCAGGTGAAAGAGTTGATATCCAGGGCAGTGTCAGAGAAGGCTTACTCCCTTAAGCACTGGCTCCAAAGTAGACGTGGCTGCGTCTGACTGGGGACAAGATCCAGAGCTATGGACACAGACTGAGGGTGGGAAATTCAAGCTGGGGCATGCTGTAGGGTGGAGGCTCTTAGTTCCTGTGCAGTTCCAGTTCTAGCAGCCTCAGGAGAATGGAGACATTGGCGGCCAGGATGGTCCCCAAGTAGGTGGATCCTGTGGTGGTGTGTAGACCTAGACTGGGGCACCTATAATAGTAGTGAATGGCCTCAGCTAAGGTTTGGCCTGATTTAGGGTACATGAGAGACATTCCCTGGGCACTCGGGGAATTCTAAATAAGGACAATGAATGATTGAGGTTCTGTCAGTCATTCACATGGGAGTAACAAGCTCCTGAATTTCAGCTGTCAATTTAAAGACTTCTTGGTAATGCCTGGAGATACTCATTTGTAAACTGGGCAATAGTATTTACAATACCAGAGAGCATCTCTTTTAGTGGATTCACTTTGTTTTTCTGTGCAGACATCCAGGCTGTCCCACATTTTAGTTTTACTGAACTCTCGGAAGGGCAGAGATGTCTTCCAGAGTTGGGAAAGATGGGAGAGAGAGTTGTTTGGTTATTAAACACAATAAGTAAATGTGATCTTTGAAGCTTGTCAAACACACATCACACAAACACATTGCATAATCCAGAGATTTGTTTTGCCTTAATGAGCTCTGCTTTCTGGGTACAGATGACATATAACAATATTGGGGAAGAGTTACCTAATCAAGAATTGACACTTATCCAATAACTATTTGATTTTCATATTTCTGACCTGAGGGAGTTGGCAGTGGGTAGACTTATTTTAGTAACTTACAGCCTCCTTCCTCAAACACAAGCTCTTTAAGTTGTGTTTTTATTAATCTAATAAACCTCTTGTTTTAGTGATGTGGAAATTGTGAAGACCGCTTCTGTGTAGCTCTCATGCATGCTCCTGATACAAACCTTACTCACTTCAATTCCTATAGAATTTCAGTAGAAATCCAAAGCCTTGTCCAGTATTTCTGTGAATTCCCTGGGGACTTGTCTTTTCTGTGGATTTAGGTTTCCACACCAGGAAACACAGGCATCCTCTAGAATGTGGAAAAGGTACCAAAAGAATTGTCCCCTAGGGCCTCAGAAGGGATTTGGATGTGCCAACACCTTGATTTCAGGCCAGTGAAACCCATTTCAGGCTTCTAACCTCTAGAACTATAAGATAATACATGAGTGTGATTTTTTTTTCCATTTATTTTTATTTGTTGGAGGCTAATTACTTTACAGTATTGTAGTGTTTTTTGCCATACATTGACATGAATCAGCCATGGATTTACATGTATTCCCCATCCCCAATCCCCCCTCCCGCCTCCCTTCCCATCCCATCCCTCTGGGTCTTCCCAGTGCACCAGCCCTGAGCACTCGTCTCATGCATCCAACCTGGGCTGGTGATCTGTTTCACCCTTGATAATATACATGTTTCGATGCTGTTCTCTCTGAACATCCCACCCTTGCCTTCTCCCTCAGAGTCCAAAAGTCTGTTCTGTACATTTCTGTCTCTTTTTGTGTTTTGCGTATAGGGTTATCGTTACAAAAATATGGAACGCTTCACGAATTTGCATGTCATCCTAGTGCAGGGGCCATGCTAATCTTCTCTTTATCGTTCCAATTTTAGTATATGTGCTGCCGAAGCGAGCACATGAATGTGATTTTAAGCCACCCAGTTCATGGTAATTTATTAGAGAGCCACAATAGGAAATGCATATATCTTCCCCCCAAAGATGTACAAGAGTGAAAAAAATGGCATTGTTTCCTTAACTTTCCTTTTAAAAATGTTATTTGTTGGGCATTGTCTTTTAATAAAATGTTATAATCAAAGGTGATTGTTACAGATGGTCTCTCAGACTCTTTAGCATCCTTTTCCTATTCATCTGACTAAATCAGTGCTAGCAAATGACTGAATCAATAGTGCTTCAAACAAAGTGGCATAAAGCAATGGAAATTGCTTTGAACAATTTGACAATTAATTAAATTTCAAACATCTTCATGGAGAAAACTGACCTTTAATTGACTATGTACTTGTTTTCCTGTCTATTTCACTAGATGGTAAGCTGCTTGAGGTTTGGGGGAAATGTCTGCTTTGTTAACTGAGGGGTAGCAGAATATGCCATCCCCAAATATGCCACCTTGTCATAATGATTATTTTGAGCTGAAGGCAATTGAAAATAAGCAAATATAAGAAAAACTCTCTGTTCTCCCCCATCTGCCTGAAGAAATAATGTCTCTTCTCTCTCTACCAGAAAGGACAGAAGTTAATCACCTGAGACAGCTCTAGTCCCTAATCAGCCCAGAGACACTGACAGAAAGATATATGCAACAAATCTTAGAAACAAACTCTTACCTTCTATTAGTTTCCCCCAGATATTTGCCTTCATACAATTTGCTACTTAGAAATTTGATGTTCTTTGCTTTTGCCTTATCATTTTTCTAAAAATGTATCATTTGGTTGTTAGGATGCTGTATAAGCCCACATTCTAGTCACCCGTTTGAGTTACTCATCACTGGGTACTCATGTATATGCCTGATGCATGTGTTAATAAACTTGTTTTTCTCTTGTTAATCTGTCTTTTGTCAGTTTTTTTTAAATTTTTTTTTCATTTATTTTTATTAGTTGGAGGCTAATTACTTAACCATATTGTAGTGGTTTTTGCCATACATTGACATGAATCAGCCATGGATTTACATGTGTTCCCCATCCTGAACTCCCCTCCCACCTCCCTCCCCATCCCATCCCTCTGGGTCTTCCCAGTGCACCAGCACTGAGCACTTGTCTCATGCATCCAACCTGGACTGGCCATCTGTTTCACACTTGATAATATACATGTTTCGATGCTGTTTTCTCAGATCATCCCACCCTCACCTTCTCCCACAGAGTCCAAAAGTCTGTTCTATACATCTATGTCTCTTTTTCTGTCTTGCATATAGGGTTATCATTACCATCTTTCTAAATTCCATATATATGCATTGGTATACTGTATTGGTGTTTTATCTTTCTGGCTTACTTCACTCTGTATAATGGGCTTCAGTTTCATCCATCTTATTAGAACTGATTCAAATGTATTCTTTTTAATGGCTGAGTAATATTCCATTGTGTATGTACCACAACTTTCTTATCCATTCGTTTTTGTCAGTTTAATTAAAGGCTCTAGCCAATGAACCTAAGATGGGTAGAGGTAAAAGAACCTTCCCTTCTCTCCTTCACCCTAGTACTTTTGGTATCTAGCACTGAATTGAACATTTTATTTTATGTAAGTACAGTATTGTTGTTTTTTTTTTTTGCTATAAATCTACTCAACAAACTTTCTTTTCCTATTATATAACATTCACAGAGAAATGGTTCTTTCTCTTCTCTCTCTCTCACATATAGAGGCATGTATATTCTGTTTCACTATTTTATTTTATTTTTTAAAGACAATTCACTGTACACATTTTATTTACAGTTTTGTACACTGTCTTAATAGGAGTGGGACCACTTTTCTATTTGAGCCAATTTTTTAACCAAAGTAAAATAACCTAAGTAATACAGAGTGTTAAAATACAGCATAAAGATACAAAACCAGACATACTAATTCTAATTAGGAATGTAATTATGATACTACATTTTTTATAATACACAATTAAGTTTAGGAAACCACACAAACATAGATCAGTGATTTGAATGAAAAGCATAAATTTGTAGCAAAGCATTGTAGTTAAGTTACAAAAAAATATTACCAAGAATGCACAAAATTACTGTTTATTCTACCTTTATGTCATATTCCTAGATTCTTCACCAATGTTACATGAGAAAGAAAAACTAAAGCAAAACAAATGAAAAACTGAAATCAGAGTCACTAATGTTATCAAGTAGGGAAAAAAAATCTAGCAGCCATCAGCAAGAGTACAGCATAGATAATGCTGTAAAAAGAAACAAAGAAAATTGCCAGAAAACTATGCATCATACTCTTTCAAAGCAGTAAAATATCCTCCCTCATACAATGGAACGTAAACAAAATCATTCTCTTGTATAGAAATGCAAGTTCTTTTTTTTTAATATTGTAGATGGGTCAAATGTTTTTGTAATGGTTAATTCTACTAAGCTGTTACAGAGTGGGCCAGGAACACATGTATGGATTCTGGGGATGATATGATGTGTACTGTAATCCTTTGATTGGGATAATGGACACTCTAGCCAAAAAAAAAAGAAAATATGAATACAGAAGTACAAGACAAAGGCTAATGAGACTTCCTTATATCTTAGCAACATTTAGATGGAACTCAAATTTAAATGCAGCCCATTCTGCTTTTGAAGAGGCTTTTGTTCAGCCTCCAAATCTCGATTGCTTGAGGCAGTCGCCTATGAGAATACTCAGAGAGTGTCTTCTTTTTTTGGGAGGGGGGGAAATCAGGGCATTTTATTGATGATGGCAACATACACGACGCCGCGCTTAGGTGCGCGGGCGCCACAGGGCCTGAGCCCAGGCTTTGTGCTTTTCCGTGGGGTTCCCGGGGGAAAACTTCTCCTGCAGCTTCTTCCACGTGCCTTTATTCATCTCCTTAAACTCATCCGACGTGTCTGAGGACAGGATCAGCTTGTACTCTTCCAGGGACAGGCCGCTGAAGCGTGTGTCTCTGGGGCGAGGGTACTTGTGTTTGTAGTAGTTTGAGTGCAGCCGTGCCAAGCTCTCGTACCTCTGATCACAGGCCTCAGGCTCTGCAGTCTGGGTGTTTCTCCCTCCCGAAAGGCCTGCTACCCGCTGCGGCAGATAAGCGCCCAAGTCCCGGCCCCGTTTGCTCTCGTCCACTGGCCATTCCACACACAGATTAAGAAACCGCCGGTAGCGGCTGGCCGCCATGTTAGGCCCCAGAGACTGTCTTCTTAAACAACAAACCAATTTTTAGTGGTGGAGCTGCTCTTAGTAGCTGTGTCTGCATGGGACTGATACCAAATCACTATCTTTGGAGGAAGTCCTAACCTTTCCTCGTATACCCTCCCGATAGGTGTAGCAGTTTCTCTTGTTTTCACATTCAGTAGTCCATATTGCTATTTTATCACCTTTCAGTTCAGTTGAGTCGCTTAGTTGTGTCCGACTCTTCGTGACGCCATGGACTGCAGCCCGCCAGGCCTCCCTGTCCATCATCAACTTGCAGAGTTTACTCAAACTCGTGTCCATGTCTTATCACCTTTAGCTCTAACATTACCGGCAGCTCCACATACATCATCACTGTAGTCATCAAAAGATTCTCCAATAAGGCACAGCAGTGTCTCTAGCCAGAAAATATCGAGGTCACTTCGTCTCTGCTGTTTGTTCAGTGTAATTAGCCATCGTCCTTATTGTCTGTTTTTCTCATCTTCCCACATAGGCTTAATACCATCCTTAAAAAGTGAGTAGTCAGAGCCAGGCATTAAATTACTAGATAACTGGATATGGTTGTACAGAGATCAAAAGTCTTCAACAGTATCAAACTTAGAGATCAATCGAAGGTTTGCTTGCCAAGTTTTGCTTTTATCATTTTTAAAAAACCAGAGTGCCCATCTGTTCTGTAAAGGGTGTTTATTTAACACAGTGTTCCGGGTTAGCAACCTCACTACATTCTGTTATCTCTTCTTCTGTAGGTGGGGGATTAAGAGTAGGGGTGGTTTCTGGTTCCACAGTCACCATCTTGGATAGATCTGATCGCGCAACTGCTCCTGAAGGCTGTTTCACTGTTTTCTGAATACAACTAATGTTTTATCAGGTTTGAGTAATTGGTCAAAGATTACATCATTGTGGTGGGTTACATAATGTGTTTCTGAAAGTCGCAAGCAGAAAAGATGATTAGTATATATTGTGGCAATAGTCCGTATTTCAGTGCCTAGGGGTCACAGGCACAGACGTCTCCAAGTCAGGAGCCAGCCTCAGGGCCTGCTCATAATACTCCAGGGCTTCATTAATTTCTCCTTTTACTTTGTGGATGAACCCAAGGATACTCAAGCTTTCTATATCTGATGCATTTCTCCGGAGTTTCTTTGAAGCCAATTTCATCAAAGAATTGATGCTTTTATTCTTATCTATTGATGCGTTTTCTATTTTTATTGCTTTTAAATAATGGCTAATTGCATCAACTTCAGATTTTTTGTGAAATTCCAGAAATCGGCCATAGTGGAAATGTATGTGTTGCAGCATTTCTTTGTCGACTGATTTCATGCAGAGCACTTTTTGAAAAGTATCTTCAGCTTTTTTGTGGTCACCTGCTTCTGCATACATTTCTGCCAGGCTTGTATAAGCAAACTCAAATGTGGGCTTTAGTTGCACAGCCTGTTCGAAATGTTGTATGGCTAGTGGTACTATTCTGTTGATGTTTTCTTTATCCTGTCCTTTAGGCTGACAGTTTGTAACTTTCTTTATTTCGATTATTTGTGACTTGTAGCAAAGCCCTGTCTGGTGATGCAGGAAAGCAGAGGAGGGGGTTTCCTTCAAGGCCAATTTTGAGAGCCGAAGAGCTTCATCCAGAACGCCTTTTCTTCGGTAAAACTTGGCAGCATACCGATAGACATAGGTCTTTGAGGATGCACTGGTCAGTGCTTCTTCGATGTACTTTTCTCCTTCAGCTTCTTGATCTACATCTTGAAGCTTCAGGCCAAGAAGAGCCTTAATGTATGCATTATTTGGATTCAACCTGACTGCCTGTTTTAGGGTGTTCAGACAAAATTCGCCACTACTCTCTGGTGCTTTGTTAAAGCCATCCAGGCGATAGACAACGATTGCATACCCAGTGCTGAATTCAGGGTTTTCAGGGTCCACTTCCAGAGCCTTTTCAAAGCAGACTTTGGCCCGTTCATAATTCTTTCCTCCACATTTCAGCAAGGCCCATCCTTCCTCACAGTCCATCTGAGGACACTCCATTCTATAGCTGGAGGAATTTGTAAGTTTCCTGCAGATGTTCTTCACCTTGTCCAGGTAAATCTGGGCTTCTGCCTGGTGGCCCATATGGTAATGCAACCAGGCGTAGTTGCCCCAGGTAACCATACTTCTCACTTCTGATTGGTTGGCATGTTCTGGCTGGGTTAAGTCTTCAGCTTCTTGTAAACTCTTCAGGGCTTCCTCATTCTGGCCTTTCAGGTGTTTCACATAGGCCAGTAAGTTGTGTATTCCCACCTTGTAGTTGGTGTCCAGGAATGTAATCTGCTCCCAGACCCTGTTTTCTAAATCCGGTATTTCTGTCTCTTCAATGATCAACTCCCATGTAAAGTGACATCTCAACTGTTCCAGCTTATCCTTGATCTGATCCTCATCAGCATTATAGCTGTAAAAACAAAAGCAAGTTTTCTTTGTTAGGTGACAAACAGCCAATAGAAATAAGCCAGGTAAAACACCATGTTTAGAGCCTAGCCTTGCAAAGGGCATGCCTGCTTTGAGCTTCCATCGAGTTCCTCTGTTTCTAAGATCCATGTGGCCTCTGAACGCAGTTTACTTGGCTCCATACCCTGACTCCAGCACTTTCTAGGCCATGAAACTTCTCTGTGCTTCAGAGTGAAGTGAAGTGAAGTCGCTCAGTCATGTCCGACTCTTTGCGACCCCATGGACTGTAGCCCAACAGGCTCCTCCGTCCATGGGATTTTCCAGGCAAGAGTACTGGAGTGGGTTGCCATTTCCTTCTCCAGGGGATCATCCCGACCCAGGGATCAAACCCAGGTCTCCTGCATTGTAGGCAGATGCTTTACCCTCTGAGCCACCAGGGAAGTCTGTGCTTCAGAACCTCCTTTGTAAAGCGCAGAAGATAAACTTACCACACTGGATTTGGTGAGAATTAATAGGCCTATCTATGTAAAATACTTAGAGCATGCATATTTCATTCTATATAAGAGTTTTCTATTTTCCTATTGCTGTAATAGGAAAGAGGTAGAGACAAGTAAGAAACGCAGAGCCTTAGGAAATATTATTGACCTTAGTCAGGACCTTAGTCTGCAGATTATGTAACAAATTAAGACTACCTAAATGTGATCATATTTGACCCATTTATTTTATTTGGATTTATTTGTGGGAGATATTTATTTATTTATATATATTCATAGAAATTTGCAAAGATAGAACATAAGTCCAGTGTATCCTTCACCCAGTTTCTCCCAAAGATTATATTTTATCCAACTACAGTACAACGCCAAAAGTAGGAAACTGGCAGTGGTACAATATGCACACAGTTCATTTTTTATTCCTACTAGTAATGTATGCTTCCCCCGGGGGCTCAAATAGTAAAGAATTTGCTTGCAGTGCTGGGGACCCAGGTTCAGTCCCTTGATTGGGAAGATCCCCTGGAGACAGAAATGGCAATCCACTCTAGTATACTTGCCTGGAAAATTCCATGAACAGTGGAGCCTGGTAGGCTATAGTCAATGGGGTCGCAAAGAATCAGAAACAACTGAGTAACTAACACACATACAGAGTAATGTATGAGTGATCTAGTTCTTTGTATTCTTACCAGAATTTGATATTTCCACTTTTTTTTTAAAAATGTTATTAGCTCTTTTAATAGACATAGCGGTAGCTCTTTGTGATCTTAATTTGCATTTCCCTAATGGCTAGTGATGTTGAACATCATTTTGTGTGTTTATTTGCCATCTATATATCCTCTTTGGTGAAATATCTCTTCATATCCTTTTCCTGTTTTCTAATGAGATTGTTTTTTATTGTTGGATTGCAAGAATTCTTTCTAGATTCTAGATATGAATCATTGGTGAGGCAGGCATGTGGTTTTCAAAGATTTTCTCGCAACATGTGACTTGTCTTTTTTTCCTTTAATAAGGTCTCTTGAAGAACAAAAGTTTTTTACTTTAAAAAAAATTTTTTTTTTATCCTGCCAAACGGCATGTGGGCTCTTGGTTTCCTGACCAGGGATCAAACCCACACCTATTTCATTGGAAGCACAGAATCTTTTTCTTTCCTTTTTTTAAAAAAAATATTATTTACTTTTAATTGGATGATAATTGCTTTGCAATATTGTGTTGGTTTCTGCCATATGTCAACATGAATCAGCCATGGGTATACATATGTCCCCTCCCTCTAGAGCCTCCCTCCCACCTCCCACCCCACCCCTCTAGGTTGTCGTAGAGTACCAGATTTGAGCTCCTTGCATCATACAGCAAATTCCCACTGGCTACCTAGTTTTTTTTTCATTCTTTTTTTTTTTTAATTATTTTTGAGACTTCCCTGGTGGTCCAGTGTCTAAGACTCTGAACTCCCAATGCAGGGGGCCTGGGTTTGATCACTGGTAAGGGAACTATATCCCATATGTGGTTTACATTCCACATCTAAAGCTCTCTCATGATACAACCAAGACCTGGTGCAGCCAACTAAATAAATTAATTAAAAATTCTTTTTAATTAAAGGAAAAATTGCTTTACAGTATTGTATTGGTTTCTGCTATATGTCAACATGAATCAGCCATAGGTGTATATGTATGTCCCCTCCCTCCTGAATCTTGCATCTCCCACCGCATCCCACCCCTCTATGTTGTCTGGGTCTGAGCTCCCTAGTCACACAGCAAATTCCCACTATCTGTTTTACATATGGTAATGTATATGTTTCAGTGCTACTCTCCCAATTTTAAGTGCAGAGTCTTAACCACTGGACCACCAGGGAAGTTCCCAAAGTTTCTACTTTTGATGAAGTATAATTTATTGATTTTTTTTTTCTCTTAATGGATCATGTGTTTGGTATCACGTCTAAGAACTCTTCACCAGGCCCTAAGTCCTGAAATTTTCTCCTTTGTTTTCTTCTACAAGTTCTATCATTTTACATTTAAATCTGTGATCCATTTTGAGTTTCTTTTGCATAATGTATGGAGATTAAGTCAGTGACTCATTTTTCAGCCTATGGATACCCAGTTGCTCCAGCAAGATTTGTTGAAGCCTGTTCATACTCCATTGAATTGCATTTGCAACTTTGTCAAAAATCAGTTGGCTGTGCTTGTGTAGGATTATTTCTGGGTTCCTTACTCTGTTCCACTGATCTCTGTGTTTATTCTTCCACCAATACTATACCATCTTGTTTACTATATATAAACAGTCTGAAAATTGGGTAGGGTGATTCCTCTCTATTCTTTTTTTCGAAATTGTTTTTATAATTCCTTTGCATTTCC